CCTTTCTCCTAAGTGAAGTTTCACAAGAATGGAAAAAGAAACATGTTATATACTCAATACTAAGTTAGATCTAATTGATCAACTCCTATGTGTACATATGAAAGCAATACTTAACAGAATCGGGGGGCATCTGTGGCTCAGTGAGTAGGGCTCCAGCTCCATATACTGAGGGTGGTGGGTTTGAACACATCCCCGGCCAAACTGCAACAACAACAAAAAAAAAAAGCCAGCTGTTGTGGCAGGTGACTGTAGTGACAGCTACTCGGGAGGCTGAGGCAAGAGAATTTGCCAAAATTTACTTCTTGGCATAAGCCCATGAGCTGGAGGTTGCTGTGAGCTGTGACGCCAGGGCATTCTACCCAGGGCGATAAAGTGAAACTCTGTTTCTAAACAACAAAAACTTAACAGAATTCAAGTGGGTGGGAGGAGGGAGAAGGAGACGAGAAGACTCACACCATAATTCACCCAGTGACGAGGCGGTGGCACCTCGCGGGCCAGAGCTGGGCTTTGGGTCAGTGGGTTCTGTTCGGAAGCTACAGAGGAGGCGGCAGCGCTGTCAGAGCGGCTCAGTCCCCAGACAAAGGCGAGGCCCCAGCAGCGCGAGCCTGAGCGCAGCCGAGCCTGAGCGGCGACTTCCCCGGCGGGTGGGGACAAGCGGGCCCCGCGTCGGCTTGGGCGGTGAAGAGTCAGAGCGCCTTAGCCTACCGGTCGGAAGCGAGTCTGGAACAGCCCATGGAGACTACGGGCGCCACCGAGAATGGACACGAGGCAACCTCCGAAAGTGAGTCGCAGGCTGGAGACGGCACGGGTCCCTGGCGGGGGCTGGAGGCCAGACCGCAGCGTCCCTTCCACACTATCAGTGGAAGCAAGTGTGAAATCAAGGTGGCCCAGCCCAAAGAGGTCTATCGGCAGCAACAGTATGGCTCTGGGGTCCATGGAAACCGCAACCGAGGAAACCGAGGCAGCAGCAACGGCGGCGGTGGAGGTCAGAGGCAGAGTTGGAATCGGGGCTACGGCCACCAGCAGGGCTACGGACCTGTCTATGGCAAGTACAACTAATCGCCCTATGGCTGTTACGGCTATGACCTCGGCTATGACTACAGTCAGGGCAGTATAAAATATGGAAAGAGCCAGCGACCTGGTGGCCTTCAGAATAATTACAAGCCATACTGAGGCAGCGGCAGAAGTGAGCGACTGACTGACTGCACAGGCTTTGTTTGGATATGGAGTGAACACAAACAATTATGCAGCAAATTTAACTTGGCAAACTTTCTATGGCATGTCCCATGTGCAACTTATTTAAAATTCCACCCCCCCCCCTGGAAATTACTCTCCTGTTTACTATTTCCAGAGTCTAGTTGTTTTAGGCAGCGTGTGGTGTCTCAGAGGCCAGAGCGGCATTATGGGCTGATTTTAGAACCAGGTTACCCAGAACCAGATTGGAGGGTCTAGTTCCCACCGCTGCTCTGCAGCCTGGACCTGGGGACCCTGGTTGTAAAGAGTAAACTGTATCTTAGGAAAGCGGTGTCACCTTTCTTTCACCTTTTAATTTTATATTATTTGTGTCATACATTTCCTGTAACGGAAGTGTTAATTTTACGGTACTTTTTGGTAGCTTTTGGGAATTTAATGTATTGTAAGGTATTTTACACGTGTCCTGATTTTGCCAAGACCTGGATATTGAAGCTATCCAAGCTTTTGAAATAAAAATTAAATTATACCCCCCCCAAAAAAACAATTCACCCAGAGTTATAAGGTCACCCCTGTAACTTTTACTTTAAATAAGCAAAAGCAAACTACATGACCAAAATGTATGTATTTAAAATATCTGAAATTTTAAAAATGAACATAGAAACCTTATTTTTAAAAAGAGATTGCACATTATGGAGGAAAGAATGTGATCTTTAGTAACATAGTAAATTTACTCCTAACTTCTTCACTTAAGCCTTTGTCATCTTGAAATAAATCACTTCATCTCTGATCCTAAGTTATCTCTCTGAATTAGGAATAACAAAAGGCAAAATCGTAAGAGTTTTTCACTGAAGATTTGAGGCGGTATATTATATTAGGATATACATACTCATTTCTATTAATATCATCAACATTAAGAGAAATTAAGTACTGAATATTTGACAAATATTACCTGTCATATAGTTCAGAGGAAGAATAATCAGCAGGTGGGCAGTTACTAGCTGTTATGATTCTGTCCTGTGATGACATATACAGTTAATTAGAATCTTATTAAAAGATATGGTTTTTGAAAATGATTGTAACCTTTCTAGCTATTTCCCTTGATTATTTGCAATAAAACGTTCCTGAAATCAAGACCTCTAGTACTTTAGCTGTTCCATTACCTATTACTATCTATCTTACTTTACCTTCATCTTTGGGTCTATGTCTGAGTTTTCTGAAACTCTCTTGCCATCGTGTTATAATCTTTCCTTCACTTTCAGTCCATCTAGGCTTTTCACTCTTTCAGAACAGAACAAAAAATAAAATTACCTTTACATAAACTCCTAATATTGCCAAGTCTTTGCTAAACACTCAGATAAATTAATTCATTGATGTATATCATTATTCCTCAGCATGTTTATTTAATCCTTGTGACAGTCCTTTCAACAACCATCGTCTCCATTTTGTAGGTGAGGAAGCTAAGGTGTTGAGTGTATAAAGACACAGAACCTGTAAGGAGAGTTAGCTTTCACACCTAGTGTGGGCCAAAACTCATGTTTATATAATTAATTCTAGTCACTGGAAGTAAATTTTCTAATTTAATCTGATTAGCGTTATTATTGTTTTGTATGTGGTAGGTATGGGCTCTTGGTATGGTGTCCAGGCTGTTGTGGACTTCCTGGATTTAAGCACTCCTTCAGCTCCAGTTTCCCAAAACACTGGGTCTGTAGGCTTATGGCCCCACAACCAGCTAAATCTAATTATTGGGTAATCTCAAGTATATTCTCCTTCTCTCATATTTATTCTCTAAACTCAAGACATACAGGGAAAGAGACATGTATATTTGAATGTTTATAGACACATAATGTCAAAAGCAATTCTTTTCTTTTTTTCTCCAAGTCCAAAGTGTAAATGAATAATTAATGCAAAGAGGCCCATTAACAATTAACTGGGATTGATCAACAAACCCATTATCTTCCTTTGATCACCATGGAAGTGTGTGGTACGAATCTCTATTCACCTAAATTCAGAATGTGGATGTCATCTCTTTTAATTCTTTCTCCTTAATCTACCACATTCTGTTAGTCACTCCATTCCATTCTTTCTAAGTCATAGAATCTCTCTTCTGCTACTGACAATACCTAATCACAACCACACCAACACAATTGTCCATGTGTGTTGCTCTATCCTGATATTGTTTTTATACAGTATATTCTGCCCCCTTTCTAATGTGTTCATGGGTCATGCTGTAGACATAGTGACTTTAGGTAGAAATTACATGATCATAAGACTCCACACTATTCCTTATTCCATACTCATTGACTGGACTTATTTCAAAAGTTTTCATAAGGTTTATGAGACTCTCTGAGATCACAACCTGCTGCCACTGATTTTTTAATCAAGCTTTCTTTCATGTCTTGTTTTAACAATGCTATGAGTTCTTTTAGTACAGGTTCAGAATAAATTATTTTGGCCTAAATTCATAATATTTTACTTGGTCCCATAACCAGTTCACATTTTTAAAATTTTGTTTGTTTGTATTTCTTTCCAGGCATGGAAGTAGTGCCCTACCCTACCACAATTATATAATTATATTTATATATACATATGTATGTATCTCCATTAAAAATAGTGAATATATACTTACAATTCCAATCAGAATCCAAACCCTCAAAGTACATTCTAGTCTCAACACTTTCCATATAAGTAACTATCTTCCAAAGGTATAAAAATTAAATTATTCTCAATATTTGATCTAATGGTGGAGGGCATCTAGGAAGGATTTCAAGGAGAATAGGAAAGAGGGGGAGAACACAAGGAATCATAAGCTAATTGTTATTAGTTTAACTTTAAACTCATACATATATACATACATATATAAGGGTTTGCTGAACTGTGTCTAGAGTATTAAGAAATAACTTCTAATGCTACTTTAGTAATAATACTAAGGAAACCATATTATTAAATTTAAAAAATTGGTTATCTAATACAGTTAGCTATAATAAATGATAAACGTTAAACAGCCAAAGATAGACTCTGTATCTATGACATAATCATTCTCAATAGCCATAGATATCTGATAAGGCTAGGACAAACTGATGAGATTGAACCACTGTGCCAAATTTATTATCATGTCACTATTCTCTAGCCTGATACCTGTAAGTTTTCAATGACACTTGATAAATTAACGTAGAAGTAAGTGGTGGAGATAGAAGAAAAATTTTTGATTCTATAAAATGCAACACCTGGTTCTCATAAAATTTGTGGTGGTAATTCTACTAATGACCCTGAAAATATATTTAAATTCTCAGACTTTATTATCTCATGAGATCCAAAAAGGATTTTTGAGGGGTAAGAGCACAGTTAAGATGCACTTACTCTTATTCTATTTAAATGATTTGAATATTCAAGGAAAATAGAGTCAACTTGTTTTTATTGAGAACCTGGATACTTTAGAAGAATGAGTCTTCGGCACATTTAAATGCAGAGATAATTACATAATTCATAAATTCTCCTAGAGAAGGACTATTAGAAGAAGACATCAATGGGACCAAAACATAAAACAGAAATTTAACTTTCAACTCAAACACATATGCATACATATTTTTTACAATGTTACTCTTTTTATATTTCTCACTTTCAATACTCAGATAGGATTCATACCCCAATGATTGATACCTTTCATGGGCTATAGTGATCTGAAACTTTGCATCCTGTTGGCAACCAACTAAATGAAAAACTCAAGCACTTCAAATAATGTGTATTTTTTGTTTTATTTTGAGAGATTTCAAAAGAAGACAGCATAAAGATGTTAATGAAGGTAGATTTTATGAACAGAACATTTTCATCACATGAATGCGAATCTGCTTAGTCTTCACACCATAAACAAGTGGATTAAGAAATGGAGGGACCAGTAAGTAAATGCTAGAAAAGAGAATGTGGATATAAGGGGGGATGTGAGAACCAAATCTGTGTGTAAAGAAGGAGAAGAAGGCCAGGAGGTAAAACTGAAGGAAGACACAAATGTGCGCAATGCAGGTATTGAATGCCTTCAACCGAGCTTCCTTCTGGGGTAAATGGAAAACTGTGGTAAATATCTGGATATAGGACAATGTAATGAATATGAGGTCAAAGCCCGCGACAGTGAAGGCCACAAACAAACCATATATTTTGTTGATTCGAACATTTCCTGCAGCTAGTTTCACAATGGCCATATGCTCACAGTAAGAGTGGGATATAACAGTCGTGTGATAAAATTGAAACCGACACTTTATCAGTGCTAGGCTTGGGGTTACAAGAATGGCAGCTCTGAGTATGACTGTAACACCTATTTGGGAGACAAGCTGGTGGGTGAAGATGGTGGCATATCTCAGGGGATAACATACGGCCACAAAACGGTCCAGGGCCATGGCCAGGAGGATGCCTGACTCTGTACACTGAAGTGTGTGGATGAACCACATTTGGAGCAAGCAGGAATCAAAGTAGATTTCAGGCATGTTAAACCAAAAGATTCCAAGCATCTTAGGTATAATGCTGCTAGAGAGTGCAATATCTGTGGCTCCTAGCATGCCTAAGAAAATGTACATGGGCTCATGCAGACTACGCTCTGATCTGATAACCATCAGAAGCACGATATTTCCAACAATAGCAACAAAAAACATGGCACAGAATGGAATCCCAATCCAGCGCTGCACAGATTCTAGGCCTGGGATCCCTATTAGTGTCAGCACAGAAGGCATGTAGATTGTTATGTTGGAAACAGACATAGTGTCCTTAGGCCTCTTGATGCAAACAAAAAATGTTTCTCAGGCAATACTATTGTTCCTCTTTTATTTTCTCATTTTATGCAAATTGATCATAGTGAGTTTTGTAATTCTGGTAGACTTCCATGATCTCCCTTATATTATGGACAGGAAAAACAGCTCCATAGACACACATCACTGTTTTTAGGGAGGGCATCCACCAGCACTCCTCCGGGGTAAAAGGAGAGATTCCTAAAAAGAAAACAAGACAGGGATGACAGTAGACCAATTTGTGATACCGAAAAGGATTCAGAAAAGGGCTATTGAATGACTGAGGATAATGCAGTCACTTAATTGTACAGATGAGGGAAAGTTCTTTGATGAAAATCATCCCTTTCTAAAAATGACATATTTTTATTTAAGAAATTATTGAGCTACATATTTGTGAAATGAGTGGGATCCAGTGGAAAAAAAATAGGGTTGGGTTATTTTATTCTTTCTTAGATTTTTCAATAAAGTTTCTTTACATCAAGAAGCACGAGTCACCTAACCATATACTCAGTATCACCAATGTGACAGAAACCCCCAAAGCAACTGTTCTTAATGCTGCTAAATCTCAAATGAAAGAAGCAAATCAACAGGGGACATATTATGACAGGAAGAGTATCTCAGCTGTCATATGTTCAGTGTAAACTACTCAGTCAACCAAATAATGTAATTTTTACAGGTTTGCTCCTCAGTGTGTGGTTCAATGATGCCCCCAGCCATGGGAAACTGACTCCTTCTAAACAGGAGCAAAATTTTTTCTCTTCCAAGAATAATCACAATCGTGTGCTGATCCTTTGAAAGCAATCACCATGTCTGAGAGACTCAGAGTTATGAGCTCACAGGTGAGCACACCTGAGAGGTACAGATGGCAGGGTGGAAGGTAGGGAGCATGTGAGTTCCGGGTTCATTGGATGGAGCAATTGTTTTTGGAGAAGATGGTAATAACAGGTTATGATAACAAATCTAGTAATTGTGAGATTTACTATCCAATTGTTGAAAACTTTTTCTGCTCTTACCAGATAACTGATGAATACTGTCCATTCTTCATGTAACTTTCTGTCATCAATTCTCCTTCATAGATTCTCATTCTCTCAAATTTTGTTTTCTGCAGTGGCTCCACTTTGTGTTTGCCCTCTGTGTAACAGTGCCGAGTTGATGTCAAAAGCCCTGTTACCTTCGGTGCTGGGATATCTGCCAATATGACATTGCGGACATCTTTGAGGTAACTTTTCACACTTTTCTTTCGTCTCTGTAATGAAGGCACACTTCTTCTGCGAGCATATCTGAGACCAGGTTTGTGTATTCATCCTCCAACAAAAGTCGTAGCAAGGTCTGCAGCATTCTGAAACACAGTATGAATTTCTTGTGCTTAAATTGGAGAAGAAAGCTTCTAGTCACCAATTTTAATGTTCCTTAATGACTCTGTGGAGGATGAGGGAGAGTCATTAAGGTGGAATGAGGGATTTCCTAGTCATAAGCCAAAACCACGAGAGACCCTGAAGATTTTACGTCAGCTCTCTTGGGTTTATCATTGCTTAATATCTCTGTAATTATTTCTATATCTCAAGAAATTGTCCCACTCTCTTTTTCCCTTTTCCTACAGGCTAAATTTAGAAATATTGACATGAACAAGTTTTCTCTTTATATGCTATTTTCTCTTTATAAGACATTTTTTCCTTGAGTTGCAAAAATCTAAAATCCACTTATACGCAGACATGTTTCTATAACAATTATATTCTATTTAATTAAATATCTTTGTGACGCTTACACTGAGGCACTTTATTTTTTTTTTGTTATAGAAAGAAAAATATATATTCGTAACTACATTTTATCACACATTTTCCACTAAGTCTCTGCAGTATCAGAGAATCATTACTTTCATTTTCATTCCAGTGAAGCCTTGGTTGGGGAAATCAGCAACATTTTCAAATTCTAGTGAGCATGACTGAGTCCTACCATGTAAAGTTCTGAGCAATTTGTTGAGCATTTTTCCACAAGTTTATTTTTCTAAATTTGTATCCATAGCTCCTTTTCTCCTTTTCTCTCTTCCTACTTTCTTTTATTTTTCCTGTTATGTCAAAAAGCAGTCATTATATGCCTCCTTTAGAGGCATATTTTTAGAGTTTTGATAAATTTGATAAAGAATTTGATCTTAGAATTTGATAAATTCTCATATTATATGAGAGAATCTTGTTGGGTGCTCTGAATGGAAGAAGAAAAATAGAAATGGTATATTCCTTTAAATTATTAATAATATGAAAATATGAGTTAGTACATTTATCTTGAGATTATCTGATAAATTCTAAAAAGGACCTATGAACATGTTTTCTTTCACCTAATTTCTAAACTTATACATGGTACATAATTAACTAAGAGGCATTCAATGTAATGTTGAGACATTAGAAAATTTAAGGGGAGTACTAATGGTGGAGGGCACTTAAGAAGGATTTCAAGGAGAATAGGGAAGAGGGGGAGAACATAAAGAACCATAATTGTTCTTTCCAGAACTTGTCTGTGACAGAAAGAGAAACAATGATACAGGTTCATGTTGAATGGAATTGATTCTTAAGCCACCAACAAACAATTTAGACTAGTTTAACATTTAGTTCTTTCTTCTTCTTCTTTTCTACTAATTTTATTTAAATTTTGGGTTCCCCAAAATTTTATCCCGGATCCATTTTGCTTTTAAATTATTAAAATTTGGTAGTACTTCTAACCAGTTAAAATAATTTAGCTTTTAACTTTGTATGTCAACAGCAATAACAGTTTTTCATGCACTTTAATATATGAATCAAGGACATATTCAAGGGGTGAAGTCTGCTTCCTCCATAACACAAAAACCAATAGTTTTGCGGCATTCTTCACAGTGCGAGGTAAAATATGCATTTGTTTTGTTTCTAATTAATAGAGAATTTTCAGAATTCTCTAGTGCAATATTTTATTTTATTTTGTTCTTTAAGAACATTGCAAAATATTAAGGGGGTACAATTTTTTTGGTTGTATGGATTATTTTTGTAATCATTAAGTCCAGACTATAGGTATGTCTGTCACCTAAATGGTGTTGATTGTACTCATTAGATATTTTTTTGCCCCTAGCAACTTCCCTCCTGCTACCTGCTTGATTTCCACTGACTTTTACTTCTCTCTTTGCCGATGTGTACTCTTCAGTTATTTCCAACGTAATAATGAGTATAGGTGGCAGTTGATTTTCATTCTTTAGGTACTTTACTTAGGATAATGGTCTCTATTTCTATCCAAATGGTTGCAAAATATATCAATTCATCTTTTTTATGGCTGTGTAATACACCACGATATCATATGCCACATTTTACTAATCCATTCTATATTAATGCATGGTTTGGTTGATTCCACATCTTTGCAACTGTGAATTGCCTGTAGTAAATATTCGAGTGTGTGTGTCTTTTTGATAAAATGACTTTTAAAAAATTATTTAGATAAATACCAGTAGTAAGATTACTGGATCAACTGGTAGGTTTATTTTTAATTCTTTGACTAGTCTCCATACTGTTTTCCATAGAGGATGTTCAAATGTTCAGTCCCACCAACTGTATATAAGAGTTCTCTCCTCTGTGCATCCTCCCTAGCACCTACCTCTGTATCTTTCCAGAAATGTGCTTATATCAGGGACATTTGAGTTGTTGTAGGATCATGTATATGTTACTGAAGCTCAATATAATACGAGCTATTTCTCGTATTTCCAATCAGATTAGCATGAAAAAACTGTCAGTGTAATGTTTTATTTCCAGCCACTTCAGATGTTTCTCAGTGACAGAGGGGAAGAAAGTAAGCATAGCCTTGTAACAGGAATGTAAACAAATAGACTTCCCTGTTTCTGGTGAAGGTAAACCATTCCAGTTCCATATATCAGTATTTCATAATGTCAGTTGGGAAGCTCACTTATTCTTATGACTGGGGCTTACTATGAGGCTTTGTCTTCTGCTTTCTTTGCTCTCTCACTTTCAGGCTAAGAGCCTTTCATGATACTATCACAAAGACTGTGTGGCCTCACATCTACTTACTTTAAAAAATTGTATTTTGTAAAAATATACCTTATTTTCTAATTTTAAGTTCATAGCAGAACTGAGTAGAAAGTACAGAGAACTTTCATATGACATCTTTCCCAACACTTGTACAACTTACTCCACTATTAGCATCTCATGCCAGGGTGGTTGCATTTGTTATGAGCAGTTAACCAAATTTAAATATCGTCAGCCAAAGTCAATAGTTTATATTAGATGTTCATTCTTAGTTAAATTCTATTTACTTTGCAAATATATAAAGACATATATCTGATAATATAAAAATCATATGGATTAGATTGATTGTCCTATATATCTTTTGCATTCCTCTGTTTATCTCTCCCTCTTACCAACCCCACCTAAGTGACTTACTGATCTTTTTACTCTTTCCATAGACATTTTTTCTTTCTTTTTATTTTTTATCATTTGTGGTTCATTGAGGGTACAAAAAATTAGGTTACACTGATTGCATTTGTTAGGTAAAGTCCCTCTTTTAGTTGAGTCCCACCCCCAAGAGCTGTGCCATGCATCCTAACCCCATCTTCCTTCTTCCTCTCCTCTTCTTCCTGCTTCCTCATTTCCCCCCCACTTGAATTGATTTGAGTTTTTCTTTTATGTGAATATGTATTAGATGGTCTACTGATTTCATATTAGGATTAAGAACATTGGGTTCTTGCTTCTTTATTCTTGTGATTCTTTACTAAGAATGTCACATCATATACAGAGAGTTCTGTCTTGTCAGATGTCTGGTGACAAGATATCACACTGACCATAACTCTGAATTTGTATTAGACAATACTTAATTTCTACTAATATAACGATATCTTTGTTTCTCTTCTAGTACTTTCTTCACATGTATGAATCTATGGCTTCTTAGCTTTGTTTGCATAAGAGGATGTGAATGGAATTTATCTGTAACTGATAGGTGAAAATATT